CTTCTTCTTCTTCTTCTTCTTCTTCTTCTTCTTCTTCTTCTTCTTCTTCTTCTTCTTCTTCTTCTTCTTCTTCGTCTTCTTCGTCTTCTTCGTCTTCTTCGTCTTCGTCTTCTTCTTCGTCTTCTTCTTCATCTTCTTCTTCTTCTTCTCTTTCATTCCTTTATTCTCCTTCTTCTTCTTCTCCTTCTTCCCATAACCCTGCCATTACCATGAACCCTCAAGCTGCATTTCCTTCCCAGCAGCCGAAGCAGATAACCGGCCGTGAGCAGCCCCAGGGGTGCCGGGGACCGGAAGCAGGAAAAGCCGCTTTCATGTCCTTAACGAGCCCCTAATGAGGATTTCGTGCACAAAGCTAGCCACATGGCTGCCTGCCCCCCTCCCGCCGCGCGGGGCTCTCAGCCTAATCCCCAGCTCGCTGCTTTTTTGTACCGTCATCTTCATTTCTGTTCCTTTTCGCTCCAGTCGGAAGGGCTGGTTTTAATTTCCCCCTTCCTGGTGGGTGGACGGGCCCACGACGGACGTGTGGGCACGGGCTGAGGAATGGCAGGCATCCCCGAGCATAGCCCAGATGCTTCGGCCTCGCACCGAGCCATCCTTGTGCCTCTCCAAACTTCCTCCTCATCCCATCCACCATCACTTTCTCTCGCATCTGATGCTCCCCAGCTCCGTTACTCCCTTTTCCCCTGCCTGGTGCCAGCCGTGGATCCTGTCCGCTCCCTTTTGTTTTCATTACCCAACCCGTTGTCCCTCAAATAATGCCAAAGGGAAGAGTGCACGTGCATGCTAGCCTAGTCCAGCTCACAGGGCTGCCAACAGGACTGCTTGAGACACTTGCAAATGGGGAGAAATAAAGGTTTTACCATTATTTTTCCCTACGCCAAAGCCCTCACACCTCTTTCACATTGCTGACTCTAAAAATGGGGGCTGGAGGCAGCCGCCGGACAGGCACCGAGGATGCGTCAGGGATGGATAGGGAGAGGAGAGGATGGGCTGCAGGCTGGGAGGCAGCAGGATGGTCCCATCCCTGGAGCATCCCCGCAACGAGCCACTCGCCCGCAGCTTCCCACCAGAGAGTTTTCAGTTTTCAAGCACCAGACTTGTCAGCCGGGCTGACTAACGAATCCGGCAGCGACGGGAATCCTGGTGGCACTTTTATCTTCCGTGGCACTGTCTCTCCAGCCCCGTCCTTTAATTATGGGAAGCTGATGGGTGGCTGGCGTGGAGACGAAGTGGCAACATGATTTATAATTCAGAGAATCGAGTGATTTATTTATTTTTTTTTCAGGGCTAAACTGTCATCCTAAGAGGAGTTCACTGGTACGTTCCCCCTCTCCCCCCACAGCAGCAGGGAGACAGTAATTTGTGTTTTCTTTGAGTTATCCCTGTGTATCTCCCCTCACCTGCTCCTCTTAAGCTGCCTGCATTGTAATCCCCTCTCAGCAGCCTTCCCTAAAAAGTGACAGGGAGCAACGGCAGCTTATTCCCCAAGCTGCTTTCGTGGCGGGGGCTCTAATGCCCTGCGCTGCTGCTTTACCTTCACTCCTGCTCCGTGCTTTTAGCACCGAACCCGCCAAATTTTCTTTTCAGTCGGCTTCAATTTTCTTGACTTTGTATTTAAAAAGGAAGTGTTGAGGAACAGAGGGTGGTCCTGGGGATTTGGGAGTGGGTTACAGCTGTCAGACCCTCTCATCCCCTACAAAAGCGGGGTCTGGGTGGAGCGTAGGGAGGAGGATGGTGCTGGGCTCATCGAGAAATACCCACATGGGCTTTTCGTCTGTGCTTCTCGGAGTGCTTTGCAGCAAGAGGAACTGCTGCCCTTGCTACATGTGCAGCTGGAATGGATGGGTGAAACAACCAAGGTTTGCTTGTGAGGTTTCCCCTGTCCTGCTAAAAAATTCTAGGTTTAGTTGTTCATTTCCAGAGTGGTTGGTACTGTTGGGATGTTGCTCACCACCCCATGGCCCTAAGGACAGGCCTTGGCCCTTGCCGGGGGTGGTTTGTGATGCTTAGCCAAAGGCTTCTCAAAAGATTTTGAGATCCTTGCAGGGCTTGGGAGACCGAGGGCTGTGTCTGTGGATGGCAGCAGTCTGGAGGTTCTGTCGATGGCCTTGCTGCCAGGCTTTCCACCAGGAGCGTTTGTAAATAACATGCGTGAGATATTTGCAAAGACGCTTGGGTGACATGTGAAATGCAGCAATTTATTAAGTCATCGGAATAACTTGGCAGTGGAGGGAGCCCATATCTCCCTATCACCCTTCACGGGTGTTTACCACCCCTGTCACTTGGCTTGGGATCGTATTTCTGTACACACAGGGAGAAAAAACCCGGGCAGGACTTCAGCGTGGGCAAGAAACCCGCTTCTGTCTGAATTCCAGGGGAATTTCAGAGCTGCTGGGTTAACAGGGAATCCATACGGAGTGTTTCCTTCAGGAGCCGGAGGCAGCTTCACCTCAATCCAGATCAGTTCAAGGAAGGAGCATCCTTCCCTGCTTGAGCTGAAGCTAATCCTGCGTGGAAATTAAACAAGGTGACTCACGGGGAGAGCTCGGTCGGCACGGGGAGAGCTCACTTGGCACGCCGGTGGTGTCTGGAGTAGCCGTGGCTGGCCCAGTCCTTCCTGCTGGTGCCAGTGGTGAAGGGCCACCGCCCCGACACCACCTTGGCTGCTACGTGGGGTTTGCAAGTGACTTTGAAATCCCTGCGCCGCTTCGCTGCTTGCCTGCGGCCACTCAGGGAAAATACAAGTGGGTTTCAACTTCCCTGCTCGCAGCCCTGAAAACCCCTTGAGTGTCTCGGGGGGTAGTTCGATCCCCTCCATGTGCATCCCATAACTTAACGCTGATGTTTCCAGCACCCAGGCCGGAGTGGGGGCACCCAGAGCCAGGGCTGTGGGTTGGAGCCAGGGAGCTGGCACGGGGTGTTTTATTAATGGCAGCTTATGGATTTGAGCTGCCCCTCCCTCCCCCTGAAATGCAGTGTATAATCTGTGCATTAAAAGTCCTTGTGAGACAGTAGTTGCTGTGCCTACACAGTGACAGCTCCTTCAGATCCAGCACCGTAGATATTTTTTTAAAGCGCTGCTGGAGTACGGTGTCCTTCCATTACGGGCTGCAAAATCGCACCGAGTTGATACTAGGAACAAAAAGGGGGAGAAAGAAAAAAAAACAAAAACCAAACACAAAAACCCAAGCCTTTTTCCTTTTAAAAACCAGATTGAACTTCAAAGTAAATGGAAACTGTGTCGCTGATCGTCTTCTGCGTTCTCACTTGCTGCGTTTCTGAGCTAAAGGGTTCGCTCTTCCCCTGCGGTAGCGAGTTTGTAAGATGTAAATGGCTGCGTGCTAATTCTCTGGTGTCTCATGGCTCTTTTAATGTACGAGCACCGTGGAAGTGCCAAGCGTGAGAGAGTCTGCAAGAGAAAGGGCTCAGAAGCTAAAAAATGCCATTTAAAAGCTGCCGTTGGGTAGTGACACGAGGCTTAGCAGTTCTGTGGCATCCTCCCGGTAAATGTTGTCCAAGAGCTGATGGGTGAACGGGCAGTGACGGCCACATCCAGGCCATGCTGGTGGCTTGGCAGCCCTGGAGGGGATGGCCACGGCTCAGTCTTTGGTGGCCAGCCTCCCTGCGGGCCAGGGAAGGAAGGATTTCCCAGGCCCAAGTTGTCTCCTCCGCTGTTTCCCAGGCCTGGAGGCACATGGTGGTGGAGCAGCGTGTTGCAGAGCTCATCCCCACAGTCCTCCCTGAGCTGCACCTTGCTCCTGCCCTGCTTTTGGGTGAGGCTGAGAGAGGGAAGAGGTTGTGTGCCGTTACCAAACCCGCCCCATCAGGGATACAACACGAAAATAAATCTGAGAAACGCCGGCCTGACGGGATCCTGCCTTTCCATTGCCAGCTCATTAATAATTGGGAGAAATTTCTGCAGAAGCTGCAACCACAAGCTGCTGACATTAAGTGTGCGCCGTTGGCAAGGAACCTCCGTGCTTTTATACCGAGGAGACCTTCCAACCTGGGTACCCCTTTCCCTTCCTCCAGGCAGCCCTCACTCCCTGTTTCCCCAGCCCTCTCCCGGTGTATTTTTGGACCTTATGTAGAGGGAGGAGGTATTTTAGCAGCAGCCCATCGTTCAGGAGATGGTGAGCCCATGCTTGGAGCTCGGCACAGCCAGGCCGTGTGAGCCACCACGGCATTTAAATATAATAGTGAGCCATGTGTGAGGATTGCCATAAAAAGCAATGTCAGGGCAGCAGCATCTGATCCGCGCGCGGGCAGCTGGGCGGCAGGGTGACGCTGGGCGAGCTCCCTGATGACTTTTGCAGGTTGCTCCTCGTGCCATGGCCCCAGTCTCGGTCAGAGGGAGCATATCATCGTGGGGGGGGGAATGTCAGAGCCTTGCACGGGCCAGCCCTGGTTGTCCTGGGTCAGCAGGGATTGCACGAACACATCCCTGGGTCCCCGCGGCGGGGAGGGATGCTTGAACACAAAGATTTCCCCTTCCCCCTCGCTTTTGGCATTTGCCCTTTGCGAACTGGTAAAGCTCAGGGACAAAAGCTTTGCCTCTGCACCCGCCGGTCTGGCACATTAGCACCCTCCGGGGCGAGCACGGTGGCGGAAAATGAGATTTTAATAGGGGATGGAGTGGCTGTGCCGGGCTGCGAGCGCCCGTGGTTTTGTTTGAACCCGAGTGCCTCTGTATTAGCCCTGCATCTGATTACATCTAAAGCAAATTACAGTCGTAAAGTGAGATTTGTGTTTTTCTATTTGCTAATGTGCCCCCCAATCTGGACTGTAGTTCTTTTTTTTTTTTTTTTTCAATTTAAAGAGATCAGAAAGCTGTTTACTTGCTTTTCTGAAGTGAAAATCATCACCAAGCTGTTTAAACACATTTTTCAAGACCGGTTCTTGGCCTTGGCCCCCCAAAATGACCCTGTAATTTGCAGAGATTAAATTAATATATCCAGAGATAGGGAGACCTGTTTCATACAAACCCACAGCCCAGCACCAGCCCAGTCCCCACTGGTATAATTTGATTTACTGAAATTTGGGAGACGGGAGCAACGCTCCAGTTTCTGGCTTTCCCTCTTCTGTCGCAGTCAAAAATACTCTCTCTTGTCTTCGCCGTCAGATGTTCATGTTTCCTCGATTTGTAACACATTTTAATAATATGAATCTTCCTGTAGCCTGGCTAATTGTTGGCTGCTCTTAATCCTTCTGTGTGGGGTACAGAGTTCCTCTTCAGCTGGGCAAGCCTCGCCGTTACTTTGCAACCCCAGAAATTGCCTGAAAAAGCAAAGGTTGCTGCAGTTAATATTTGTTTTGTTCTTCATATTTATTTTTCCCAGACTTTCGATTCAATTCCTCTGCCTGTTCATTCCCTTTCCAAACATGGTATTGGGGAAATACCACATTAACCAGCTATCTATGGGGGAAAAGTTGTTTATTTTTCTCTCTTTGCTTTGCTGGTGGAGTTAACAGCTTTGTTTTCTGCAGCAGCTTCCGTCCCCTGTCCCAGATAAGGCAGCTCTCCGTGTTCTTGAATACAGCAGCTGGAAGAGAGGGGGGAAAACTGTTAAAAATAAAAAACTAATGGTAAAAGCATAAGGGCTGGCAGGAGTAGTCAGAAGCAGGTTGGGACCTTCAAAGTACTTTTACCAGGCTTTGCAAAATGGGCTCGATTTTTATTATTACTATTGTTTTAAAACATACTCTCAGACACATGAATTGACCTTCACCAAAAAAACCCAAACCAACAGTCATGTGCTTCTAGCTCTCCTCTCAAACACACTAACCTGGCAAGGCTTTGCAGATCTTTATATATAATTTAATTCTTTCTTCCAGTCTCCTGGAAGATTACAATGAAAGCTTTTGTGTTTGCAACAGGCTTTGTTTAAACCCCTGGCTATTTTTGGCCTGAATCCTGAATTATTTGGGGGCTTTTGCCTGGGAGGTCACCTTGGATGCTGCATCCCACCAAGATATCCCACCCAAAAACCCCTTCCCATCCTTTCACCAGGTTCAGCAGCGTGTTCCCCAGCCTGAACATGGCAGTGAAGAGACGGGAGCAAACGCTGCAGGACTACAAGCGCCTGCAGTCCAAGGTGGAGAAATATGAGGAGAAGGAGAGGACCGGCCCTGTCCTCGCCAAACTGCACCAGGTACCGAGATGCTCACGGCCCCCCATCCCGAGCAGGGTCAGTAGGAAAAAGCCCCCAGGGCTTGGGGAAAGCTGGGAAGAGCTTTTCTCTTGGTGTTTGACATCCACGCCGAGCCCCCATGAGACAGGACGCTGTGGAGGGATGTCTTTTATCGATGCAAAATTGCCACGTAGGAAACTTGATAACAGAAATGTGAATCAGAGAGCGCAGCGAAGGGGAAGAGCCACTTTTCCAAAATAAAATTAAATAAAAGCCACAGGAGCTGGGGATGCTTGGAGGAGCAGCCAGCGCTGAAGGCGACGTGTGGGGGTTTTCCCCTTGACCTCCGCGTCTGAGCAGGCAGCTGGGTGGGAAAAGGGGAAGATCAGAGCGTTTTGAGGCTTTATGTTTGCCACCTGTTACAAAAATTCGTCTTGGAAAATTGCAGTAATTGGTTAACAGGAAGCTTTGCCAGATTCTTTTCTCTCTCCCAAATTTCAGCGAAATCATGATTATTATTATTTTATTTTTTTTTCATTAAATCTTCACCAGCATTTCTCCCCAAATCTGTCGCTCCTGCAGAACGTTGCTTGATCCTCGAAGGAACAGTTGACTTTCTCAGTGTCAGAGAACATGTATTTTCCGATGATTTTCCCCACAAAAATTAAGTTTTGTGTTAAAGAATAGCCCTATCAGCCTTAACAAAAGAGACCTCCGATTTAATAGTAAGCAGCTTACTTCGCTTAGCCTCGGTGACTAAAGCTGCAGCTGGAAAAATGTGAATGCTTTTGTCCTGGTGATTAAGCAGGTTTTAGTTATTTAATATTTTTTCCCTTAATGAACTTCTGTATGATCTAATTCCCCCCAAAAAGATCTTAACTAACCACTGCGTGAGCTTAAGCTCCTGCAGGAGCCTTAAGCCATCCTGAAGCCGGGACATGGGAGAAGTCCACAAATTTGATGGGAAATAGCATAATCTCATCCAGGTATTTTTATTGAGCTGCAAATTTGCATCCTCCCATCCGAGCTGTTTGCTCAAAGTCTTCTGCCCCACGTGAACTCCACCCCGGGTGTTGAAACACTCCCCTTGTTTCATGGCAGACCATGAATTGGCTGGTCTGCCTCTCAGACCTACTTAAGCCTGATATGATTTAAGGCTTTGTCCGTGCCATCCCTCTGGGGTGCTGTCCCAGGGAGCGGGACCGGCGCCGCGCCTGGGCTCGGCTCGCCGGCTTTCTCCCGCATCCCCCTCCCGTCGGAATGGCACCGGGATTAAGTGGCAGACTCGAACCGGTCTAATATTTCACAGCCCACCCCCTCCTGCCCTTTTCCACACCATCTCAGAGACATTTCCCTTTCTCCCCACGCTTCTGTTTAAAGAAGCCACTTGGACGCGCTGAGCTGAAGGTCACAGGAGAAAATGATGGTGGGGGCAGGATCCTCTGGCGATGCTCTTGGGAATTGCAGGCTGAGGGGACACAGGCGTGGATGGGGATGTTCTCCAGCCTGGCTGAGCTTTGGGGTTTTTGGCTTCGTTCTTCTGAAGGGGAGAAGACCAGCTGGCTCATGATCTCTGCAGCAGCCTCTCCAGGTGTCTCATGACTTTCCTCATAGTCCAGGACCAGAGCTTGGGTCCCACCAGGCTCCTTTAGCTGGTCATTTATCCCACCAGACTCCATTGGATGGTCGTGTGGGTCCCACCAGTCTCCTTTAGCTGACCAGTTGGTCCCACCAGGCTCCATTGGATGGTTGTGTGGGTCCCACCAGGTTCCTTTAGCTGGTCATTTGTCCCACCAGGCTCCTTTGGATGGCCATATGGATCACACCAGTCTCCTTTAGCTGGTCAATTGGTCCCACCAGGCTCCATTAACCAGTTGCTGGTTGCCCCTGGGTCAAAGCAGAGCAGTCTGCTGGCCTGGGGTGGCCTCTGTGCAGGTCTGCCCAACGGAAGAACATTTTACCAGACATCTCACTCACCATCCTCTCTCCTTTCCCAGGCCCGTGAAGAGCTGAGGCCGGTGAAGGAGGACTTTGAAGCCAAAAACAAGCAGCTCCTGGAGGAAATGCCCAAGTTTTATAGCAGCCGCATCGATTACTTCAAACCCAGCTTTGAGTCGCTGGTGCGGGCGCAGGTGAGACGCTGCCCCCTCCCTGCCTGGCACGGCCACGTGTCCCTTCGGTGGGTGTCCTCACTGCAGGGCGCCTGGGGGGACAAACTGCTCATAGAGCAAGGAACCTTCTGGAGCGGAGTGTAACGCAGGGGTAACACACAGCAATCCCCTGCCCTCCAGCAGTTTAATCACCGGGTGGTGTGAGTGGCAGGTCGCCGTTTGGACCTTGGCCTGGCAGAGGAGCAGGTTGGCATCTGCCGGTACCTGCGGTGATGCGGTGCTGGCTGCCTGCTGGAAAAAAACAGCCAGAGGTGAGTTTTCTCTGGTTTATATGGATCTGCCTCATATCGGGGACGCTCCTGGGACACGTGTGATGTCCTGTCCCACGACGTAACGCAGTTCAAGCCCTGGTTATACATCAGCCGCTGGCGTTCGAGGGTTTTATCCACCCGGGTATGTCGTCTCTTTGCGTTTGTCGTCCTGAGCTCAGGGTTGGATCTTGTTTGAGGGGATGAGATGCTCAGGGCTCATCCTAAGGGTCTCTTCTGGCCCTTGGTAACCAGAACCGGGGCGTGCTGGCAGAGATAGAGGCGGCTGCTGTGTAATCTCCACACCAAGGATTTGCAGGAAGGGGATGGCCTAAATAAACCGCAGCCTGCTTTAATTTCCATCCTCCAGCTTCCTTCTGTGACTTGCTGCCGCTCCTCCTCCATCTTCCTTCTCCTCTCACCCTTTTCTTTAGGCTGGAGAGGAACATTCTCGGGATCTAATCTAGCTTTGAACTTCTGGCATCTCGGGCATCCGTCATGCCCTGGATCAGGGGGTGGTCCAGCGCCAGGAGGTGGGCGAAACCACACACCGCTCCTGGCGTGGGCACTTCCCTACGGTGGTTTTTTTTTTGGAAGGGAGCTGCTGCAGTGACACAGGTGCGGCGGGGTGGTGCAGAGAGCACGTGTTTCGTCTCACCTCCGACTTTGGGCAGGGGTGGAGGGAGGGGGGGAGGCCCCTCTCCACAGAGCTGCCAGCAAGTTGTCTGCAGGCTGATTCACCTACCAGATGGTGCCGATGCACCCTGCCGCCGCCTGGGTGGGTGCTGGGGATGCTGTTCTTGCTGTTCCCTTAGCAATCGGGCGCTCGGGGCTCCCTGTTCCAGCCGAAATAACCAGACTCCCTGGAGCCACCGCAGAGTCTCACCGGCCCTTCCCCCTGCAAACCCTCTCTGGCCACTCGCTGTGGGTGGGTCGCTTGGACGAGACCTTGAAACCCGAATGCCGCCTGTGCTCTGTCTGGGTGTTTGTGATCCGTCGGCAGTTTTCTTAGAGAGAGCAGCTTTGCCCCTCTGTCCTTGGCCACCGTGGCCCTCGCTCGGCTCCTGCTGGCTCCTGGTTGCCAGCTGGCTCCTGCCTTGGCTCGCCGGGACCTCCGGGCGAGCGGGTGGCAGCTTGGGGGGAACCGAAGTGCTCGGGGTGCTGGGAGGTACGAGCGGGGAGTGGCGGGGTGCTGCTGTGGGGGCTGTTTGTACCCTTGAGACTCGCCATTCGTACCCTCTTCTTCCTTGGGAATCCTCTATTTTTCCTTGGGAATCCTCTATTTTTCCTTGAGAATCCTCCATTTTTCCTTGGGAATCTTCTATTATTCCTTGGGAATCTTCTATTATTCCTTGGGAATCTTCTATTATTCCTTAGGAATCCTTTATTTTTCCTTGAGCATCCTCTATTTTGTTCCGTGGCCATCTGCCCTGCCTCTCTTCAGGTGAGGATTTTTGTTGGGAAAGTCGAGGGAAATCTCGATTTTACTACCCCAGAGGCAGCGTCCTAACGAAGCTGATGCATCTCCCTTAGGCTGGACTAAAGCCGCTCCCAGACGGATGCTAAAGGAGGTCACATCCCACCCTCCCCGACGATCTCGATGGGAGCTACATCCCTCTTCCCCAGCACCGGCTGCATCCTTCCCCCCACTCCGGGGAGGGATTCACCGGCACGACGGCATCTCCGCTGCCGGGAGGAGCACCCGGCACTCCCCTGATGACTCGTTTGTGCTGAGGCTGGGCTCAGGCTGTGTCCCCCCGCCTCCTCTCCCCGTTCAGAACGCTGTGCAGCGTTTCCCCCATCGCAGGTGGCTGAAATAAAAAAGAAAAGGGAAGTTACTTGCCCAAGGTGACTTAATGAGTCAGGGGCGAGCCAGGAATAGCACTCGGGAGCCCTGACTCACCGCAGAGGCTGCTCACCTCCAGGGGTGAGGGCAGCCGGGGGGGACTGCCACAGGGATGCCAGGAGCATCCCCAGCCCCATCCCAACATCCCAGGTGTGAGCTGGCAGCGGGAGGCATGTGAACACCGAGGGCCAACCCCGGTCATCCCACCACTGCTGCTTCCCGGGTTCTCTCTCTCTCCCTCCATGCCTCGTTGAGTTTATTTAGCATCTCGGGGTGGGAGGGGGGGGGAAGTTTCATGTTATTCG